GTGTGTTACTTTTTATTTAATTTAATTGGTACAAGCAGTGTTTAAATGTGATTTATAAATAAATCTAACACAAAGATAACAATTTAATGATTAAACTTCAACTTTTAATTTGCTGACAAAGTCTGAAGACACTGCAGGTATGGCAGGATGAATTGCATTTAAACAGGAATTAAAGTAATTTATTACATCTACTCAAATGTGTGGAAGTAAGTATTTATATATATATATATATATATATGTCTGTGTGTGTGTGTGTGTGTGTGTGTTTAATTGCTCTTTTAGCTACTTTTGCCTGAACCTAACACTGTAAGTGAAACAAGGCATTTCTTGAGTTGCTGTAAATTATGCTATAATACATATTTACTGTCTCATTCCAGAAAACAACAACAAACAACAACAACAACAACAACAACAACAACATCCTTCATGATGGACAGACATCATGGACACCACAGCAGCAGCTGTCTTCACTGAAACATCCTGAACATGATCGTCACTGACATGAGGCCTCTGTCCATGGTTGAAGACGAAAGCTTCACTACAATAATCCACACTTTTAATCCAGGTTACAATAATCTACACTTTTAATCCAGGTTACAATAATCCACACTTTTAATCCAGGTTACAATAATCCACACTTTTAATCCAGGTTACAATAATCCACACTTTTAATCCAGGTTACAATAATCCACACTTTTTATCCAGGTTACAATAATCCACACTTTTAATCCAGGTTACAATAATCCACACTTTTTATCCAGGTTACACTCTTCCCTCAAGGACACATTTTACAAAGTAGCTACATGTTGTGCAGGTATAAAGATACATTTGTATATATTTTTGTGTACATTTATTTTTTTAAGCTATTTGACTTTTATTTTTTATTATTCAATATTTTACTAACAGAATAGTCAAATAGCAACCTGTTTTTAGTGTGAATTGCTATGTCAGTCAAATGTTCAATTTTGGAATAAAGGGGTGGAAATAAAAACATTTTATTTTTTTTACTGATTCATTGATTAATCGAAAAAATAATCGGCCAATGAATCGATTATTGAAATAATCGTTAGTTGCAGCCTTAAACTGGACACATGCAGGAGTTGAAGGCGAAAAAATTTCTATCAGACTTTTTCTTCTTGGCTGAGAAGAAAAAGTCTGATATTAAAAATCACCTCGCACAAACAAGCACATGGTGACGTAGACGTTCTGCAGAGGGGGAGACGACGAGAGCGCTGAGCCATGATTCATGGATGCTCTCGAGGGCACTGTAAGAGTTCTGATAAGGATTCAATAATCAGCCAGTTTCCTCCAGTGAGATCCATAAACATTCTCGAGTGATGTCGGGGAATGGCCAAGGACAACGCCTATGAGAATCCAAGAGTCCTGAAATGATGACACAAGTTTATTCAGCTGGTTTCATCTGGTTATCAGTTGGAAATTCCTCAGGGAGGGGGTGGTGAGCGTCAGATCACGTTCTCCAGGTGAATGCAGATAAGATGGCCTTCAAGGCCAGCCAGAGGAACCAAATTTAGATAAACACACAGTTGTTTTGGGGACAGGCAGAACTTAATGACATCTACCTTGAGTCTGTGTTGGTCCACTAAGTTCCAAAATGTCCAAATTACATGGTCACACTGATGGAACGTGACTGAGTAAAATCCCTGAGATCTGATCCATTCTGCCCAAAGCATTTGAGTCTGGGTACTCGAGGCACGAACCAAGCCATCATAAAGGCAAGCAGCGTGATCGGGTCCAAATTTGCTGCCGACGACTTCCTTGATTGTAGATAAATACCAGGACCAGCTGAATCCAAAAAGCAGGAACCAGTTATCAAAAATCCAATTAAATATGCGTCCTTAAAATCCACAGATGGCAGCAGAGATAGACGCATCATCAAGTCTTCAAGTCGATGAATGTCCAGCTGCGTGCGTGCCAACAGGGTAAATCGGCTCGCCTAGAGCCTGTCTTCTCTTCAAAGAAATGTTGTAAATTGAGTTGAGGGACCAATTGGTCAAAACAAGTCCATAATTATGGTTCAGAAGATGCAAGAGAGTCTCAGAAGCAGTTTCACAGACAGACAGAGCAGCAAAGCAAAGCGGAGAGGGAGGGGAGGGGAAAAAGCGTCCGACCTCGGCTAGAGCAAGTTGAAGCAGAACATGAACCAGTTGAAGCAGAACATGAACCAGTTGAAGCAGAACATGAACCAGTTAAAGCAGAACGTGAACCAGTCAGCCAACGAGCCACACCAAAAATACAACTAGTTAACTTTTAAACTAACCAGTGGAGCAGAACCTGACCAGGTGACAATAAGTTAAGCATAAAAAGTCAAACCTATGAAGTGGCAAACACAACTCTTACCTCCTGACAGGTGTCAGTCAAATGTAACATCAGTCGACTGTGTGAGTTAACCTTCAACTAGTCAACTAGTAAAGACTTTAGTGCTCACTAGTTTACCAAACCTGCAAACCTGGACTTGTTTTTATTCTAAACTTTATAACAGGAACAGTTTTCACTCATTGAGTTTCCTCTGCAGTCAAGTGAAGAGCTGAGCTGGACAAGGACCAATACAGAACTCGTCAGGTACCAGAACCACACTCAGACTTGGGAAGGGAGTTTTGGATCAGGACTTTTGCACAGAATTAACCCCCTCACCTCCTTTCACTTCCTGGATGATGTCATCAGGCAGCGAGAAACTCTTCTCAGCATTAGGAAACGGCAGGATCTCTGACTCGTGCTGCAACAAAAACACACCTCGATCAAACAGTGACACAGGGCGGGCGTGCGTGCGTGCGTGCGTGCGTGCGTGCGTGCGTGTTCTCACCAG